CACTTTTTCTTTTTACTCTCTGGAGGATGATCTCAGTTTTTCTCCTCACGGGCCTTTCTCTGTCCCAGGGGGGCAGCAGCCTGGTGTCTCTCCTCCTTGTCCTGACGGCGTTCTCTTTCCTTCCACTGGGGTAGCAGGGCTGAGTGGCTCAAGCAGGTACTTTACCTGACAGACGTTTAGCAAGCAAAGCAGAGAGTGTTTCTGGGACTGTTCCTTTTCATGCACAATTTAAGTCTATGCCAGGCAGAGCACAAGCCATGATGTGGAAGCAGCATTACCTCTCTAACTTACCTCCCAGCTTTTATTGTAGTGCCCGTTGCTACAGTATCAAAACTCAGTTAATACTTCGTTGGCCAAAACTGCTGAAGAATATTGTCAGTAGAAGGTAATAACGTGTTCACACCCTCTGCTGACCCTGGCCTCAAGCTAATGCTAATAAGGATATGATGAGAAGATTTCTTTCTACACGCTTGATTTTTGATGTGCTAGAGATATGAATTTGAACTATAACTAAATTGGAGTAAAGTCCAGACTAAGGGTTTGTATGTTTGTACTGAATCATTGTTAAAGATGTTAAAGAGGATAAATGTCAAAATTAGTCTGAGAGTCACTTCAGTATTAAAAAATTGGAAAGTCAATAGCCTACATTAACTGTTTCCTGCACTACAGGAACGTCGGTGTTGGAAGAAAATTCAACCTAGAAATGCTGACGGCAACATTTCCTCTGCTCTTAATTTAACTGCTGTTCTTATATATGGTCAGCCTTCGGTCCAAGCCCTGCCACAGAGAGTGTCAGGGAAGAAGGCTGGGCCAGCCTCTCTGTCTGTGCTGTGGATAGGGCTCCTGAGGGAACAGGCTGGCATTGAGTTTTGGCTGGTAGGTACAGTGAAAGCAGATCCAAAAAACTGCATGGCAACTGCTACAAACACCAGTAAACAAGGACTCGAAAAATCTTGGGAGCCAACGTGACCGAAATAGCAAAAGGGAGCTAGTAGTAGGAATCCTTTGCAGCTGTAGCCTTTTTCGTCTAAAGATACTATGCTGCTTTACAAATATTACTTAGGCTTCACAATATGCTGGTGACTTATATACATGTAATTATGCAGATTTTGGTAAGGATACCAAAGTTTTTTATTGATGTGACTAAGGAAAGCCAGAGAGCCAGAGCAGAAACCAATTCAGACCTATTTCTACTCATCTCCTTTTAGCATGTGGCAATCTTTGAGAGCAAGGGCTTGCATGTGCCAGCCTCTGCTCCAGAAGGGGCCTTTCTGTGCCCCTGCCTGTAAGTCATCTCTCCTAAGGGTGGTGTTTATAGCTAACTACATGTAGTTATGAAAGTTTCCAAACTGGAGTGTGAAAAAGAAGTGATATGATTGGGTATTTGCCTCTGATTTGAGATGCAGCTGGTAAAAGATCAATGAATGTGAGGATTGAAGGGTATCACATATGTAAATGCTTTCTGGCACGTGTAAATTTCAAAGTCAAAATGTAGTCCCATCCAAAAAATGACCCTATAAATAATGACATCTTTTTCTGTTATATCTCACTAAATCCACATCCGATTTACTCCGATTACAAATAAGAGCATGCTTTTCCTAAGACATTTTCCAGCAAACTCAGTTTGGGCAATCAAACTCACGTCTTTATTTTTTGCACATCATTATTGATAACCAAAACTCTGGAGGGCAGGTTGGATCCTTAGTTTATCTCCATGCAATCTGATTAACCTTTGCCAGTACAGGTGTTACTTTGAGAAAAATGTGGAGGCTTGGCTCCTCAGGCACTTTGCATAAAAGCAGACTTTCAGTGGTTTCAGAAACACTTGGCTGAGAAGCATCACTGTCCCATTGACTTTCAGAAGGTTTGTGTTCCTACGTCCCTTTAGAGTATGTCTACATTGCAGCTGCAATTTCGTAACAGTGGATATGAGCACACATACCCAAGCCACCTTTAGTCTAGCTGTCTTGACTATCATAAAACCATAGAATCATAGAATAATTCAGGTGGGAAGGTACCTCAGGAAGTTGCTAGTCCAACCTCCTGCTCAAAGCAGGGTCAACTATGAGGTCAGACCAGATTGCTCAGGGCTTTTCCTGGTTGAATCTTGAAAACCTCCAAGGACGGAGACAGCACAACCTCTTTGGGCAACTTGTTCCAATGCTTGACTGTCCTAATGTTGAATTTTTTTCTCCTTATACCCAGTCTGAAACACTTCTTGTGTTTCAGTTTACGTCAACTGTCTTTTGTCGTCCTGCTGTGCACTACTGTGAAAAGCCTGAGTCTGTCCTCTTGACAGCGACCTCACAGGCACTGGAAGACTGCTACTAGCTCTGCCAAAAGCCATCTCATCTCTAGGCTGAGCAAGCTCTGTTCCCTCAGCCTCTTCTCATACAGCAAGTGTGCCAGCCCCCTGACCTTCTCTGGGGTCCTCTGTTGAATTCATGGCAGTTAATTAATGTATTTTTTTCCTGTACTGGGGGTCCGAAACTGGGTGTAATATTATATGTGGTCTAAAAAGTGCTGAATAGAGGGGCATAGTTACTCCTCTGATCTACTGATGATGCTCCTGTTAACACAGCCCAGGATGCTGTTGGCCGTCTTTGCTGCCAGGGCACACTGCTGGTTCATTGTCAGCTCATTGTCTACCAACACCCCCAGGTCCTTTGCAGCAGAGCTGCTCCCCATTGATGAATATATTAAATGGGACAGGTCCCAAGACAGACTCCCATGGTATTCCACTTGTTACTGGCCTCCAGGAAGAGTACAATCCATTAACCACTCCCTCTGAATCCTACAATCCAGCTAATTTTTTAACCATCTGCTTGTCCACCCATCCAGGCCGTGACATCCCAACTGGGTTATGAGAATGTTGTGGGATACCATGTTAAAAACCTTGCTAGATTTAAGGTAAAAGACATCCACTGCTCCACAAGTCCAGTCATTTTGTCATAGCAGGCAGCTGGGTTGGTCAGACATGATTTGGCTCTGGTAAATCAATGCTGACTGTTGCCAATCGCCTTTTCCTTATGTGCCCAGAAATGTCTTACAAGAGGATTTGCTCCATATTTTTGGTCCCAGCCTCCTGGGAACCAAAGTGAGGTTGATGGGCTTGTAATTCCACGAATCATCATTTTGGCCTTTTTTAAAGATAGGTGGAGCATTTGCCTTTCTTCAATTACTGGGGATTCCCCGATCTCCATGACTTTTCAAAGATGATAGAGTGCGGCAAGGACATCAGATATTATTTAAAATCTGGTAGATATATTGAATGAATCATTTTAGTTTACGGGAAGGGCAATTCATTTGTGGACTTACAAGTCTGAAGTCTGCTTTCCCCTCTTGGCCATGTGAACTGGCTTCATTGAAAGAACTGCCTTTAACCCCATACACTTGGTGAAGAACTGATTGATAATGAAGAACCTCTCCGTTTCCATGTCCCCAGTGACCCTCCATGGATTAACAGGGAATTGCCAGAGGCAGACAACCGGGGCACAGGCAGGAGGGGACATGTCTGGAGAGTCCTATGAATTATTTCTTGATCTTTAGCAGAAAGACTTTGTACATACAGGTGAAAGAGGCTCGTGTAAGCTCAATAGATTATATTTGTCTTCAGTAAAGTTGCTTGCATTTCATACTAAAAGACTGGACTCGTTTTGGCTGGTTGATCTACTGGAGAAATGTCAGCAAACATACAGATTTTTATTATAAATGCATTTATTTATTCATTGAAATTATTTGACTTGGTTTGCAAACATCACTAATCTAGCCTGGTTTTTGAACTGTTAACATTTAACTGAGTTACCTGACTTTAAATTGGCCACATAACTCAAGTGACTCATTGCGAATGGCTTCTGCTTGCTTTTTGACTTTCCTGCATTTCCCCTGCTTGTGCTTACAGCAGCACCATCATGCCTCACCCTCAGAGCCTGATCCACACACGGCTGCCTTCCCCTCTCACCTACCCCTCCCTGGCGAGGGCTATTGTCTCCAGTATTCAGTGCAACACCACAGCCTCTGCCTCATCCTGAGACTGGGCGCGCAGGCAGCTTCGTGAGGCCGCGGAGGGGAGAGACATTGGCCCTGTGCTGTGGACAGGTTGTGCTCTCGCTGGAGCTCCGTGCTGCCCAGCTGCAGCCTAGGGAAGCACGGCATCGCATGGCCCAGTGCTCCAGGGGTGATCCTGCACGCTCTTGCCTTGCCTTTCAAAGCAAAAACACCAGAAAAGAGGACCACCGTTTGATTCATTTGGGTGCCTTTTGTTAGCTAGGGTCATGTATCGACTGCTGTTTTTAAATGTGTCTTACGTAAGTCTGTGCTATGGGCTGGGGCTCTGATGTTAGTAACCTGTGGTTGCGGCTCAGATACGCCACCACCGTAACAAGGTCAAGTGACTTGAAGCAGGTTGAAAGCAGTAGATGAGCCTGCCATTTTTCACTTTTGGGTATCTGAATCCAAATCCCAGTGAGACTGAATGTGTTTCACTGAGCTGCTACTTTTTAAAAAGGTAGGCCCATATATCATTACCCGATCAACTATATTACAGCTTTGCGTCAGAGATACCGATTGGTTTGCTTGCCCTACTAAATACGAAGAGTACATTCATTTTCATGATAGCATGCAGAGCTTCTGCTAATCTTGTTTAAAATATAAATTTTTATGTTCTGTCCAGGTAGAGTCAAACTGGCACTTCACATAGGTAAGCGTTTAAGGCCTGCAGGATCTGACTTACGGATGTGAGCAACACTTAATTATAAACGTTACTGAAGACAAGACATAATTATCATTGTCAATGACTTTCAGTTCAGCGTAATAAAAACTCATCTCACGCATGTACCCAATGTGTGTGCATTAAGCTATGCTGAGCTCTAGCTAACTCTGTGTTTTTTAATTCCCTCTGTTGTCTGTCAGGTCTTTTCCTTAGTGGGAGAACAACAATGGGTTAACAACAGAAAAGATTAACAAAAGAAAATCTTCTGTTATTTTGTATTTGTTCTGCCATGATTGCTATGAAAAGCTCTCTTTTTTTTTTTTTCTCTCCACTTCCTACAGGACAATTTGCAAAAAGGAAGAAGACTTCACTTTGGTTCACAGTCTCTCTGCTGGTAGTGTCTGTTTTCATACTGACCATAGGTCTGGCAGCTACCACAAGAACAGAGAATGTTACCGTGGGAGGCTACTACCCAGGCATCGTTGTGAGTAAAGAAACCTATTTTAGATTATTGGGTGCAACCATATAAATTATTATCAGCTGGATATGGGAAGCTCTGATCGATTTAAAAAAAAAAAAAAAGAAAATTCAGTCCTGTTGCATTTCACAGGAGAGAGGTACTCCTTTGTTTTGATCTAGTTCTAGTGTGTGATAAGGTAGGGGGGTAAACTCTGTTTTTCTGAAGTGCCCCAAAGGGGAGGCTGTTAGGGGGCAGAAGGCGGTCAAGGTCGCACTGCACAGCAGTATGCTGGGCTCAGGGGCCTATGTGAGAACCTGTGCTTGACTTCCCACTGATCTCTGTTAAATGTGCGCATAATACTGACTGGACAGTAGGCATGGGGTAGATTTAAATGACCTCTTAGAGGCTTACTACGTTGATGGCAGAAAGAGCCACTCTGCTTTCGTGTCTGTGTGTCAGGAATTCTGCTGGGTCCGTCGAAGGGAAAGCCCTATGGATGGACATATGGAAGCTTCTCCCTGGAGCCTGCCTAACGTCTTCACGTGCAGTCTTGCTGTCAGGCCAGTTGCACAAGATCCCCTTCCGAAATCCTTAGTCTTGTTTTTGCCTTGGGAACAGACTGCTTAAACATGTTCCTACATTGGGCACAAAGTTCGAGTTGTGTCTGCTTCGCCCTGTGGTGCCTCTCTGACTTCTGGGGAGGGGTAGCCCTGCCAGGCCCTTGCCGGTTCAACCCCCATGGCCCTTTCTGATCCCAGAAGGAGATCAGTCATATCCAAAAGGGTGGAAACCCCTGGAGTCAAAAAGGTTTTTTGAGATATCTGGACTGAATTTTAAAAAAGAGGAGTATGGGCAGCAAATGGAGAAAGGCCCATCTGCCTCATTTGGTCTCCCCAAGCCAGCCAAGAGGAGGCAGAGGGTGCAAGGTGAAGAAAGAAACTCATGGAGTTAGGCACCTGCTTAGGTATGTGGCTCCACCACTACCAAAATGTGTTGTAAGGTACCGTTATTTCTTGTTCTCTATGGAATGAAATGCCCAGAGAAGAGGGATTTGTATCTTTTAATACTGTGCATACATTTTGCATTGCCATTAATAATTTGTGAGTTAGAACTGTTCCTCCTAAGCAAGTCCTCTTACATCTTAGTGTCATGCTGAGAACAGGTCTTTCAGAAAGATAATTTTGGGATAATGATCTATAAGGAGTGGTGTTTTAAAAATAGAACAAAAAGTAGTTCCAAGAATAAAACCTTAAAAGAATCAATTTTCCTTTCATTAAGCTAAAATAGATAGATTAATACTGATAAAGGTCTCTTCTTCTGTAATTTGAATTAAAATATTTTAGAAGACCATATTAGCTGCATTCATTCCCTTGAAAGACGTTTCATTTTTAAACTGTTGTCTTTAATAAGTGTAATAAGTAATAAACCCATGTGCACAAACCAGTTTATTTCAGCATTTAGTTTCTTTTAGAAATAACACAATGTCCATTCACTCAGCTGAAAAATATAATCTACTGAATAATAAATCTACTTTTTAAAAAATCTTGGAGTCATTAATAACCAGATAGAATAGCTAGAATTTATCAGAACACTTTGAAAACAAAACTTTTTATTAATAATATCCCCCCTCAAAAGATTGTTGGAGCTAAATAATTTTCATAAAATTCAGAATTCTTTTTGCGCACATGTGATGGATTATTGAAGTAATTGAGAGAGAGCGATGGGTAATTGTCAGTGTAAACTTCATTAATACACTAAATATCCCAACCATTTAGCAAGAGTTAAAGATGCTACACAAACCTTGCACGATATCTTGCCAGAAGCCTGGTCAGAGGTGTATGACAGCACTGCTGTGTTCCTGCCTCATTGCCAGAGGTTACTGACGCCAGTGCAGCTTTGACAGATGGACTATGGGCTGGTGTCTCCTCCGCCTCCACGCAAAGTCAGCCACCTCTTTCAGAATGAGCTGCATAACCCTCAAAAGGTGCTTCTCTTCTCCGCTGACAGTAGAGGGAGCTTAGAAAACCAACATAGCACTGATCCCAAACTTCTGGATACCTAAAGCTAGGGGAGTGAATTTGACATTACATATTTAACTGTTGGGCTCAAAGAACAGAAAGATTATGAGGACAGACAGTGTTAATTACAATTAAAAATAAGGTCTAGTTCTTATAGAATTCAGTAGTAAAATATTAACTTCAGAGCTGGTAGGTGAGATCTAAATCTCCACTGACCTTAGGTAAGGGATTTTGGTCTTAAAAACCATGCAGAATTAGTCCCTATCTTGCAAACACCTACAAATGTGAGTAAGACTATCCACTTGCATAGATTTACTTGCATCTAGAAGCATTTGCAGAGCAGGGCTTTAGGGCTAGATCCATAATACAATTTGGGCTTCTGCTTAGTTCCCATGGGCTTCAGGAAGAGATAGGTGCCTTAATTACTCTGCATATGTGGCCACTCATCATTTGTTTTGGAAAAAACTTTTTTCTAAATACATCTTTATAGTGGTAGGTATTATCTGCATTTATGCATCCAAAGTAATTTAACATAAAATATTTCTGTGTGTAGATGAGTTAGTATAATGCTCCACTTCGGATGGTGTCTGCATTTAGCAGATTACTGCTTGATCATCAGTTTGGGTTTAGGGCTGTCTGTGGAATGGGCTGCAAAGCCGGAGTTGGAGCTTCTTCAACCTCACTTACTTACAAATATTGTGTATACTTAAATATTTAATGTCACTTCTCTATGACTACTGCTTGTATTATTTTCATTTGTTGTTTTTATAATCTTTCAACCAGGAGTCTACAGGGTCCAATTGTCCCAGTCACCATACTGACCTGGACTCCCAGAGTTCCCAACCCAAATAGCCTATTGTCTAAACAGACAAAAAAAAGCAGCATGTGTGACCCTAAACCAATCTCAGCAATGCTGTGGCTTAAATCGTGATCTCTATCTATGGTTCCACTCCTTCTGATGTAATTGCTGTTGTTCCATATTTGCTCATTTTTTCTTCACATGGATAATATTACTCTGCTCTGTCCCCCCTGCATCAGCCTTAAATGGGGCTTTATGGATTGTTCCCGTTGGGATGAAAAATGGGGCTTGGAACCAGGTGTCATTCTGATGTAGTTATCTTAATTTACAAAGTTGCTGTCCCCCGAACAGAGTGTCCTTGCTCACAGTTCCAAGTCTCTTTCCTGTTCAGCTGTCAGCATGGATGCACTTGCACACTCTTTCTTTTTCAAAGTCTCTGCTTTTAGTCCTTGTGCCTCCCTTTCACATAAATCTTCCCAAAGCACTCAAGAGCAAATCTCCTTTGCCTACATTTGTTTTCTTGAGGGGGGAGTGACGGATTCCTGTTGTGATGCTGAGCGAGTAAAGTGCTTGCAGGAGATTTGCTTTCTGCTGTGAGCGGTTGTGCATAACAGCAAGGAGTTCACGGGCATTGCTCAAGCCCTTGGATGGGACGCATAGTCCTTAAAAACTTAACTTGTGCTTGGAGGAGGGGCTCTGAACCAGATTCAAAGACCTCATTCTGGAAAGGGGCTTAGGTTCCTTAGCAGAAATGTCATGCCCTGTCCATGGGGTGGGGTGGGTGGGAGCTGAGGGGGTGACTGGGGGTGTGTCTGGGCAGGGAGGAGTGTCAGCCCTAGTGAAAAGGGGAGCAAGGAGTGTGGAAGTGATGGGGGATTGAGACTGAGGTGACCGCAGGGCAGTGTGTGGCCAGGCAAGGCAAGGAGGGAGCTCTATGGAAAGAGCCTGTTGACACCTGCACTCCAGCTCTGGCTGCTTCTCAGTCTGTGGCCAGCTGCATCTCAGGTGTGTGGCACCAAGGAGACCCCTTTTCTCCAAGCCCACGTGAGCCCCATGGGAGTCCTGACTCCAGGAAGGCCTGATGAAAGGCTGGTCTCACCTGTTGCCTCTTTACCTCGTGTTAACCATGAATCCAAGGAGTTTCTACCTCTCCAAACCGTCATGGGCCCATCATAAGGAGAGGGCTTTTCTTGCCAGCCTGGTGTTGAAGCAGCACTGGTAGGAATAGTAAGGCCAGCTTACTCCAGCGTCCCTTCCTCCTCTCTCTCCTGTGGCTGTTGGTGCTGCAGCTGTACTATGTTGAAACTAACTGTACTGGTCCTTCTGGCATTTTAGCAAGGACTTTTTCTGGGATGTGTGATAGTGTTTAGTCATTAAAATCAAACAAACCCAAGCCTAAGGGTTTGAACTTGGGTCTATTGCATGGCAGCAACACATCCATTTTTTGAGGAAAACTGTTTGCCTGCAGTTGCCTAAAGCTTTGCAATTTTCCAAAATAATGATGTATGGGCTAAATGTAAGTGTTCTTTTCTCCTATTTCGCTTAATTTTTGCTTTACGCTGTGTAAAACTATACATGACTATGGTAACATTAGCCAGGTTATGGAAGTGTATGTCTATACAGGCTTCCATTTACTAAAGGACAAGTTTTGCTCTGAAATATCAAAGAGCTGCTGTTCTGGTCATTCCCCATTACATTATAAGATTTATGTCCAGCAGTAACTTCCACCCTTTCCCCTGACCTACCCCAATTAGCCCATCTGCATGATACATCAGCTCAGATATCACTGTAATGCTTTGATATGTTGACCAAATAAGCTGACCTCATGTGTTTCTGTTGGTTTTGTTCTTTGCCTTAGCTTGGCTTTGGATCTTTCCTAGGGATTGTTGGCATCCACCTGGTAGAGAACAGAAGACAAATGGTAAGCAACAGCCCTTTTCGTTTTCATTTTTTCGTATCAGAATGTCTTAAAAACACGAAAAGCAGGGATTTCCAGTTGACTTAAAACTACTGCGTCTGCCTCAAAATGTTAGTCATTTGTTTCACCATTTCTGAGAAGTTTCAGAGAAGCATGAATTGGCCAGTGACTACATCTGTACAGGGCAGGGGATGGTTTCACTTCTGACAGAAGCAGCCTGCTTTTTTTTACTGAACTACTTTCCTGCTGGTTTAGTGAGTTGAATCGACCCAGTGCGGGGTCAGATGAGTGCCAGAGCTTGGCCAGGACCATGTAGCTGGGAAAAGGATGGGGAGAGAGACAAAATGCACAGGTCGTGCCAGTTTGGGCAGCAATGAGCCACACGATCAGCTCAACCATAACAGGTGATCTCATCCTGCACAAGAAATTTAAGTCAGGAACACTTTTCCTGAAACTATATGTTTTTAAAAGAAGACAAACCCCAGAGCTCTTGCTATCAAGATTCCCTGGCTAGGTCAGACAGGATCTGATGACACCGTGTTGTTTGTTTTTTAGATTTAGATTGGCTTTACAACCCCCTTGCTTTTATTTATGTGAGGAAGTCACAAAAAGTCCTTAGGGCATCTGGGTAAAGGAAAGTGTGTAGGACTGGATTTGTGGAAAGCCTTATACCTTCCTTGCTCTCGGCAAAAAATAGCCATGTCTTGGTTGAATAACAGCATGTCCAATGTGCACTTTACAGTAGACTGATTATAGCCAAGCATCATGAAATATGATTAATTTCATAATGCAGAGCCTTCACTGGTATAAATCAAGAGTGGTGTTAAGTTCAGAGGAGGCAATTATGTGTTTACTTTGCTTTTTACTAACAAGTAACTATTTTACTTATAAGTAGTCTGTGATTTCCTGTTTTCTTCTTCGTAAACATGGTCTTGTCACCATTTGTAGGCAAACTTCTTTCATAATATCACTTTTTTTGCATTGCCTTTAAGTTTCAGTGATGTATTTGGAAGTATTCCCCTGCTTTTAACTTTTGTTTCTAGCTGGGTTTCTCAAAGGAATGAGATTTATAAAGCCATGATATTTGTCTGTGTCTTTCTCTGTTCCCCATTCCATTTTTGAACATGTTGACCAATTTCAGGCGAATTCAGCAGGGAGGTAGAGACTTCAAAGGTGTGCAATTCCTTCAAGTTTTATGAAAATTCCCAGGTGGATAGAGGAGAGAATTATTAATTAGTTCCCCCATGGTGGTAAAGGCTGCAATGTCAGCTCACCTCTTATTAAACACTAGAGAATCCAAATGGGACATGACCTGTGAGACACAAATCTGCAGCAGGCCAGGCCTCATTAATTTTGCTACTAACAAAACAGCTTATTTGGTTTTAAGAACTATTGCCCCTGATTTCTACATCAGAGACCAGGATGAACAGCAGGTTCCAAGTTGCAGACTCAATGGTGGGCAGATGAAAATAGCTTTGTCTTCCACAGCATTCATGCTACTTTACTAACAGGCATAATGTTTTAGGGTGGTTTTATCTTTCAGTTTTCCTGTAATCTGCCTCTTAGTTTTCTATTGCTTCTGTCCTTAGCAGAAAGTAAAATGGCTGAAAAACATGTAAGGTGGGTAAGCAGTGATTAAACCATGTAATACTCAACATGTTGTGTCATTTACACAAGGACTGTGGAGAAATAAGCATCCAGTATGTTTGGTATTAGTGCCTGTTTGCATTTCCCAGCATGGAACAAGGAAAACTGCTTTCTGCTAATAACAGTGATGGTCTGGCTGTTGAAAGATTTGGTTTCTGGGGAACAGACCAATAAAATAACTAGAAAGTTTAATTATGCTTCTTGTCTTGAGTACCATCCACATTGGTGGATTAAGCCTTTTAACACTGTCTTTGCTAAGGCCGAACTGCTTGTTTTCAAACGTTACGGAAATGAGATTGAAAGGGTTTATGTCATACTACAACTGAGGGCAGTAATTATTCCCTGGGGTGTAACTGAGTATATTGGATTGAAAGGGTCTAAAGCAGCTTTAACAAATTTGCCACCATCAATAAGATTGTAAAGGCTTGTATAAGCACAGATATGTAACAGAAATGTCATATTCCTGTAACAAAAATTCTGTGCATTGCAGCAGGACAAAAGGGGGTGGGAAGGAAAAGAAATTGTTTACTCAGTTGCATCAGTTTTAACTGGACTTCCTTTGAGCAGTTACTGCAGTACAATTTGAGTTCAACCCAGTGTAGCTCTGACAATCGTCTGGCCATTGTAATGACTCAATACTTCATTTTTGTTTTTTTAAATTGAAAATGAATGTAGATTCAATTACACTAGGAAAAAAAATCTATTTTAAATTGACCTTTTCTCCGTAAATCTATTTCTCTTTTTGTCTTGAAGTTCTATTTCCTTGTGACCTATCCTCTGTAAGTCCAGATTTATTCACGGATGATGAAATGCTAAGTGCAGTATGAAATATGTAATGGTTAGCAGAACTAGTCCAGCAAATATCCAGCACTCAATAAATGCAAGCACGGGGTTTGAGAAGGAACGAAAGCACAGTTTGGCAGAATGGACAATGGTTTGTTCTTAAAACACAACGTTAATAATGTTGCACCTCTTTGACCTCGTTCTTGGCATCCCAGGGCCCACAGTGGGAGTTCAATGTGCTGACCAAGGTATAACCCTTAATTCAAAGGAACTGCTGCTTGCAGAAGCAGGTTCTGCCTCATTGACTAGCATGATTTCACTTCAGGTCTTAGCATTCGTGCTTGGCTCTGCTATGCAGAACTTGGCACCAGCGGAACAAAATTTCCCTTTGACTAAAGATTTGCACTGATTTGGGATGTTTCTAACTGGCAAACGGCAGAAATGGAAGAATAATGTGTTGCTGTCCCTTTTTGCCTCTCTTGCCCCCTGCAAAGGTCATGGATCGAAGAACAGAGTATAGCTGTAAGTTGTTTCGTTCCAAAGGCACACTGAGTCCAGCCGGATGGGTGGAAAATATGATACTGCTCAAATCAAATGGATTTGATTGTAAGACGTGAAGTGTCCTTGCTTGTTTGCTTGCTTGCCATCTCCTCACATTACAGTACAAAGTATTTCCAATTAGAAAACGAGATGCTGAGATTGCATACAGAGGTGGGGAAGGCTGGATGCGCGGGGGGTTCATGGCAGCAGAGCTGTGCTGAGAGCAGTAAGCAGTGCTGAGGGAGTGCTGTGAAAGGTTTCTCCTCAGATTAATGTGGAGATGGCATGAGCTAGCACCCAGAAATGAAGCACTCTCTAAATGTGCAATGTCGATAAGACACCCTGCATGTTGTTTTAGCTAACCTGATGGATAAACCAAGCACTGGCTCACAGTTTCCACTCACACGTCTTCCCAATGCCAGTCTCATCAAGCCGTACTGTTCACAAGGCTGAAAATGAGCATGCTGAAACTGTGGTGCCTGCAAGAGCGATGGGAGATGCAAGGGCACCATAATAACTGTCAGGGTTTTGAACACTTGCAATATCACAGAGCTGCCTGCAAGAGCTCTTGGTAGGGTCGTGGGAGTCACCTCGGCAGCAGCGCAGCTACGGTAGAGAGCGGCAAAGGCAGGAAGGGGGTGGGAGGAGGTACAGGAGCGTAAAGGACACAGAGAGGACGGGGAGGGGTCAGAGAAGCAGGACTGACCGCTCAGGAGGTGTGAGTTAGTGCAAACCTTGGTACTACTTACGATGAAGACAGTTGTCTGCAGCAGGTTGGAGACCTGAATTAATCCATTGCTGAGTCTTGCTTGTTTTTTCTTCATGCTAACACACAGTTAATTTTCTTGCTGAAATGTCTAGGACATACGCAGATATAAATCTAATGCTCAGCTGGCTCAACCTGGTCCTTGACTTGTTCAGAGAGATGGTTGTAGTGATTTTAGCCGAGGAGACATTGCTTCTGACAAAAGTAGAATTTGAAAACATGAGGGAGGTTAAAACATGGAGCTCTGCACACAAACAGAAAAGGCAAAGCTATTTCTTCAGACTTCTCAAGGGATGCTAAGTTTAGGTGCCTTAATATGCTTGCTTCCCGATCTCTGTCAACAATAATTAGGTTTCAAATTAAGTGCTGAAAAGCAACTATAGCACAAGTTGGAGAAACAAAGCAATAATTTTCTCTTCTGTTTTTAGTTGATAGACTTCCCTGACAGTGTATGCGTTCCTACCCTGTGTTGAGATGTATGTGAGCTAGTTTTTCGATATTATCTCTGATTATTTTCTTGCCACTAGAATTTGCATCTCTTTCAGAAGAAAAGCTTTTTTAAAGGAGTTACATGGGTAAGCCATTTTTCAGAATTATAAGAGCCAAACCTCTTTCGCTTTTCAAACCCGATATATCTTGTAAAGCAATTATGTCCATCAGCAAATGCCCACTGGACATTTTGTGTACAGGTGGTGGTTATTAATACATACACCAAAAAAAGATACTGATATGGATACCTACTCTGCTCTGTTCAAACATATTGTGCTTCATCTACTTTTTCATGCAAATCGAACATCCTGGAAGAAACTGGCTTTAGTGCAGATTTTGATCAAAGATGCTAATTGCTGATAGATTCCATATCACATATTAAGCTACTTAAAGCAGCTTGTTTACATAAAGAGAAAAACCATTACAATTCTGTAGATCTCCTGAGACTATCTTTGATGTTCCTGCACAAATAAATGGAAGATGTCTTTATTGTAGTGCAGGGGAAATGCAGATAATGTGAAGGCAATCGTTGTCATTACCAAGGTATTATTTCTCCGTTGAACTCAAGCTTCAGAGAAAGTCAACAGCACTTCTTTTTTTCAGTGATTATTTTTTGTGTGCTCATATTTCACATAGTTCAGGGAAAAACAATTAATGTTGATGTAAAAATGATAATAATGGAACAAATTAGCAATCATCCTTGTCTTGTTTAGCACCTTTAAAATGATTAAAACTGAAAAGACCTATTACTATCTTTTCAGTCATAAATGTGTGCTAG